ATTGCAGAGAGAAAAAAAATCTACAGGTGCTCAGCAGCCAGCCCAGGCTTCTGTGGCTACGTAAGTGCAAGAAATCAGCCTAAAAACCCTGCTAATGACCTCATTATTGGGCAAGCACTTGAAACAAGCCCCTCCGGCTGCGCACGTGCACTGCCAACCTGATGCCTATCACTGACCTCTACCGTGGTTGCACGTCCAGGAGGAGAGGCTTTGATCAGAGCAGGCAGCAGCATGGGAAAACAGGCTTTACTCTCCACAACTGTGGCAGCTAGAGACAGAACAGCTCACTGAGAAGAAATGAATACATTGGAATAGAAAATGATGATCAAAAAATAAAAACAATGTTTTTCTAGATCTTCACCCATTTATTTGGCTTTGGCCTCAGTGATCCTGCCGATGAGTTGAACACTCTGGGAAGGACGGTCCCTCGTCCCTAACAACGAGCTGTGAAATGAATCTTTACCCCGTGAGTGACAAATCCAGAAATCAACCAGGCTACAGACGTGACTGACAAGTGTCACATTCACAGGGAGGAAGTGTGGGCGACACAGGACTTCATAATCCAAATTTAAACAGTGCCCATAGCAAACAGAAATTTAAAGTTGCTTTAGATGAATTTAAAAAATCAGGCGCTCCCGCTAAGCGGCTTGTCTCGAAGGTGAGCTGACTCAGGCAGACCTTCCTACCTGTGAGCGACCTTCCTACCTAAGGAACAGAAATCCGAAAACAGCACCCCCAAAGTCATCTTTCTAAGAAAAGGAATTTTCCTAAGGGAAAGTGAAGACCATTGCACAGGTCAGCACAGCACGAAGCACCCCGGCCCGCCCCGCTCTGCCCTCTGGCCCCCCGAGAAGCACAGCTCAAAGCACAGGCATCGAGTTTAGATTCCAGCAAATGCCAGAAGGTGACAAGCTCCGTCTTTATCACCAACTGGTCAGAACTGGATATCTTTACAGAAGACTTAGCACAGAACATAAAAAAAGCCTCACCTCTGAAAAATGGAGATTTTAGATGAACTTCAAGGGAAGTTTGAGGAAGAGCAAGGAACAGCAGTCTGGAGAGATGTTTGGCGTGAGAGCAGAAATTCTGGAATAACTGGAGATCAAATAGCCACTCCTGACCACGTCATCTCTGAGTCCCAGTGGAGAGGTCAATTAAAGGCACCTTCATCCCCGACCTCACCCGCAGCAGCCTCACGGCCTTTGATTAATGGGAGGGCGTGGCTCGAGCCCACTGCAGCTTTCCAGAGGCTCCTTCCGACTTGGGGTTTGATTTTAGCGTCTCAGGACACGGAAGACCCCTCCTCTCACCCGACTGCCGTGGAGGCGGCCGTGTTCAATGTGGGCGGGACATTATGGGGAAACCAAAATAAGCGCAGAGCAGGGCCCTTGACCTCAGCACTGTTGACACCTTGGTACCATGCCTCTGGCCTGTGACTCACAGGATGGTGAGCAGCACCCAGTTCTCTACATACCCGGTGCCAGCAGCACTCTGTACCCCAGAGTCTGTCACAACCAAAAGTCTCTCCGGACGTTGCCAAATGTGCCCTGGGAGGCAAAATGGTCCCCGCTGAGAACGCCTGATCTGGAGGCACTTGCGCCCTCCTCCGAGGGGCCCGCACTGCAGAAGCAGGCTGACTCATCACCCTGTACAGGTACGCCACGCCCCCAGAGACCGCGGGCCAGGGAGAGACCCTCCAACGCGTCATCTAACGTCCGCGGCCCACGTTTGTCCAGCGAGAGCTCCAGGGTGAGCCCAGCTAGCGTTGTCGGGCAGAGCAGGCAGGTAGGCGGCCCACACTCAGGTAGCACGTGGGGCCACAGGGCGGGAAGGAGGCTCAGAGCCAGAGGGGCTGGGGGTGCCAAGGCCGAGCACGTGATCGTGGACGCGGGCTGGGAGGAAGGCCACTGCGAGCGAGAAGGTCAGAGACCCGGGCTGTGCCTGCTGGCCCCCCGGGTGGCCCCGTTGAAAGGGGTGAGCGCTGAAGCAGGAAGGCCGCCAGGAGGCCACCTGCACAGCCCACACAGACAGCGCGGTCACAGCAGAGGTTTGGGCGGGGTTCTGGTCGGAGCCCCTGCTCCTTATTAGTCTGTCATTTAGAAGCGCCCCTGTGCCTTCTCCCGGCTTCCTGTGTCAAATGGGAGAGATGAAGCCACCAGACAGGATGTCCGGTGACAGCAGGAGCCCAGGCTGGCACGAGACGGGCCGTCAGTGAGAATCTGCAGCACAGTCTGTTATGCTAAAGTATACACATTACTTTTCCTGCAAAACAAGGGACGCGAGCATCACAGTTTATGTGCGGATTGGGGGAGCCACAGGCGGAGTCTGGAGGCTTCATTAGCTTGGATCAGGTTTATGGCTTCAGCCGGCATTTCTGAGGCTCCTGGAGAGCGTCGCCCACTCCCAGGCAGCTGCCCCCCTTCGAGCCCCGATTCTGGCTCTGCCTCACTGCCGTTTGGGGTTCTTATTCTTGGACAAGTACAACTACAACTATATAGAAAAGGACACACGTCGACCAAGACTGGAAGGAAACACAGTAAACAACAGACTTGCTCATTGCAGGGCTGGAATTGTGGGCGTTTTCTTGCTTTTCAGACGACCCTGAGAACTCGCGAGAATGCTCCTCCCCGTCCCCGTCCGCAACAATACTCAGGTTAAGGAACCCGAACTTCATTCCGGAAGCAGCCGTAAATGACCCACTGGCAGGATTTAAACAGGAAGGTAAGATTTTGTTTGAACAAAGAACCTGCGGGCTACAAAAAAAGTTGAAAATCACCCTACTTAGCCTTCTCCAGAACTTTCTGGGCTGGTCTATTTCTTCTTAACTTTAGAGTTCACTTGTTAAATTTCAAATCACCCTTCTCCCCTAAACTGGGATTTTATTTGAATTACATGCTATTTATAAATTATCTGGGGATGGATTAACTCACATCTTTTGATCACTGAGTCTTCTCATTCAGAAACAAGGTAGCTCTCCATTTTTTAACCTGATATGTCCTTTGGTATAATGCTATAGTTTTCTTCATATAGGTCCTCCTTTTTTTTTTTTTGGAAAGAAAATGCCTTTTCAAAAAGTTTTCAATGACAGTTGACATACAATATTATGTTAGTTTCAGGTGGTCCTTGCTTATTTCTTTATTCCTAAGTGCTACTTGGAATGAGATTTTACCTTTTTGCCATTATTTAAAAAAAAAAAAAATCATCATTATGGGATACGGAAATGCTATGGATTTTTATCTAATCATCAGAAGCTATTTCCTGGAACTCTCAGTTTTAGGCTGATTTTTTTTTTTTTTTTGAATTAGACAAAGACATAATCTGTAAGTCGCTACAAATTTCATCTCCTCCTTTCCAATAGTTACACTGCCGATTCTTTATCCTGTCTGGACATCATAACGTGACAGGCGTCTCTTTTTGAATTGGATACTCTACAATTAGGGAAATAACGAGACAGCAGCTTTGTGAGTTAGTGCTTGCTCTGTAATAATACAGGACAGGACCTGCGTGCGGCCTGTTCGAAATTAAATAGCATTAAAACCGCCTATAAAGTAAACAGAGAATCCAGTGTCAGTCACCTGATAAGGAAATCAATTACAGGTCTCAGAAGAAGACTAGCCTACAGGCTAGATCTAATTTTGACCAATAAAAGACAAACAGGCACAGAGCTGGAGGATGGATAGTCCTGAAGTCAGCGAGAGTGAATTCTTTCCTTCCCGTCAGGGTACAGTTGTTTTCTGCAGGGACAGGCACCGTGGGGGAATGACACTGGGCTCAGCGGCCAGGGCCAGCACCTCTGGGTGGAAACGCCGCCTCTGCCTGGAACTTGCTCTTGGCCTCGGGCAAGTTACGCATCTTCTCTGCCTCATCTGTCAAACCCTATGTACTCAGTTCATACGGTTTATAAGGGTTAAATGAGTGATTATTCTAATCAGTATTCAAATAAGGAAAATGCTAACTGTAAGTGTAGTGAAGGTGTTTGGTCTAGAGCAGGGGTCCCCAAACCCCCCCAGGCCATGGATCGGTTCGGTCCGTGGCCTGTTAGGAACCGGGCCGCACAGCGGGAGCTGAGCAAAGCTTCATCTGCATCTGCAGCCGCTCCCCAGCGCCGGCATCACCGCCTCAGCTCCGACTCCGATCACCAGGCATCAGATTCTCACAGGGGCGCCGGTCCCTGGTGCCACAAAGTTTGGGGACAGCCGGTCTACAGAATGCACATTCTTACAAAAGAGTTCAAGGAGCATTTAATCTAAATCTCATGCATCCAGTCACCATTTACCACAGGACGTGGGAGTTAACTTTTATCCTCCACCAACGCGCCCCTCCCTGTCTGCCTTCCTGCCCCTCCCGGCCCACGAGGCTCCGAGGCTCCGTCTGACTCGCTCTCTCTGCGGCCCCGGCTCCGAGCCCACAGCCTGTGCTGTGCAGGGGAGTGAGTGTGTAAGCTTGTTAAACCGTACAACCGAAATACGACTCGGAATTCTGGGTCCGGAGGCTCCAGGGGGAGGAACCGTATCACTTCTCCAGCACAAGAAGCCTGAACTTTGCGACAGTTACTTTCTGGCACCCAGTCACTTCCTGCTTGAGTTACGATCTAAATGGCCGGGCGTGAACTTCACCAGCCAGATAAGGAGGTATGACTGAGTCTCTGGAGAATGGCGTTAGGCAGTAGCCATCACGAGCTTCCCTTTTTGGGTGAAGAGACTGTCCTATGGGGTAGGTTTTTGAAAAAGAAGAGATTATCTGCCTGCGGCAAAGCAGCTGAGAGTATGAAAAAGACAAAAAGATTCAAAACTTCGAGCTCTAATAGTCTATGATTATTTAAATAGCTGTCCTACATTTAGCATAAAATATAGTAGAACCAGCTCTACCTCTTAGCATCTTTCCTCCGGCAGAAGGCAAAGGGGCGAGCGGCAGAGAGACAGAGAATGCAGTGACCTTACCCCTGGGGGGCGGTCAGGCTCCAGGGGCTGGCCCCAGGTGGCCACGGGCAGCATTTTCAAGCGCCCTGTGCCAGAGACTTCATGTCCGCCTCTGAGCATCAGATGACAACGGGATGACAAAAGAGGACTTCGTCACCTATTTTATCAATTTGTTAATCCCCGTTAAAATTGCTAATAATTCATATTAAATATGAAAACCAATTTACTCTCTTATAAGTGGAAGCGACCCAAGTGTCCACGGATAGCTGAATGAATCAACAATGTGGTCCACCCACGCCATGGAACATTACTGGCCTTAAAAAGGGAGGAGATTCTGACACGTGCTACTGTGTGGCCAAAACTCTGAGAACATTGTGGAACGTGAAATAAGCCAGACACGAAAGGACACGTACTGCATGACGCCACTCACGAAAGATGTCACGCTCGCTCGTAGAGACGGAAAGGGGAAGGGCAGGGCCCGGGGCTGGGGGACGGGGAGCGAGTGTTCAATGGGGACAGAGCTGCAGGTGGGGACGGTGAAAAGAACTGTGGGGAGGGATGGTGGTGGCCCCGTCACACCCTGGACTGTGCTCGAGACGCCGCCGAGCTGTGCACTCGAAAATGGTTAAGATGGCAAATTTTATGTTACATGTATTTTACCACCATTTAAAAATATATATTAAAAAAAAAATCCAGTTTACGCTTTAGTTTTTGCCACACCACAGAGGGAGGAAGAGACGAGACAGCGTGGACTTTTCCCCAGAGAGCAGGCGTGACATGGGCGAGGCCCAACCGTGTCACGAACCGGCCACACGAGAGATTAGGAGCCTGCGTGGAAAGAAGCCTTCAGAGGAGGTACCACCAGGGGCATCTCTGGGTGAAGGCCGTCTCCCCACCACGAGCTTGCTACACCCGAACTTCCCAGCGATGGACGAGCGAAGCCATCACGACCCGACGTGAATTTTCAGATGTCATCAGAAAAATAAGACGGCGAGAACTCGGAAGAGGGAGCTCTACGTTGAGAGCTGCTAATTTAATTAAAAGAAAGAAAGGAAGGAAGGAAGGAAGGAAGGAAGGAAGGAAAGGAAGAAAGAAAGAAAGGTCATTGGATTGTTTTCTTAGGTTCTTGTGCTCCACTGATGGGTAATTTTTCATCCCATTTTGTCTGAAAGAAAAAAAGAAAAAGAAAGAAAGAAAGGAAGGAAGGAAGGAAGGAAGGAAGGAAGGAAGGAAGGAAGGAAGGAAGGAAGGAAAGAAGGAAGGAAGGAAGGAAGAAGGAGGGAGGGAGGAAGGAAGGAGGGAAGGGGAAAGGCAAGGGGCAGGCATCGGGCAAACGCTACTTGCATTAAGTATATACGTTTAAGTCATTTTACCATGAACTTTTATTGGAAAAGCAATACACAGCAGTAAAAATTTATGTTAACCAAATCCATGGAGCCGGCAAGTAGAATAGTGATTGCCAGGGGCTGGGTGAGGGGCTGAGGAGGGAATGGAGCCTTGTCGTTTAGTGGGGACAGATCAATTTGGGATGATGAAAAAGTTCTGGGGACCAGGGTGGTGATGGTGTCACAGCAATGTGGATGTGCTTAATGCCACTCAGCGGTGCACCTAGCAAGGGTTAAGCGGCAGAGTCTGCTATGCAGAGTTTACCACAGTGAAAAACAGTTTATGTTAAAAGTTTCACAGCATAAGAAAATGGCCAAGTCAACCTCGGGCACCCTGTCCCGCTGTAAAGATGGTACTTGTGACGAGTATGTCATAGAATGCAAAACGCTCATGACAACGCTGAGCACACGAGCACGTATGTGAATCCCCCGTCCCTCCAAAAAAACATCTACGAACAAATAAACGACGACAAAGACTCCGAGGAAATCCATCAAAATGGAGCCACGGCCGTCCTCACGTCATGACGAGCTTACAGATAAGACCGTTCCGATGTCCTCTCGGGGAGCATGTACTACTTTTAAAGGTGGAAAACAACGCAAAGTTCATTTCCTCCATCAGTTTATTTGAAAAGAAGGAAGAATGAAAAGAAAAACCTTCATGTTTTATGTCCCCGGAGGCTTTGGAAACTAACAGAGGAAACTATAATTACGGGGGCGGCCACCGCTTCTGGTGCCCCCCTCCTTCTGTGGGATGGATCGCCCCCCGCCCCTTCCCCCCTCCGCCTGAGCCACCCCAGGCTGCTGAGCCTGTGGCCGTTCTCAGAGTAATATTTTTAAATGCTTGAAGTATATAGGGTTACGAAGGAAATAGATTATTCTGAAGTATACTATCAAAATTTATTTTTGAATTGTGATACACTGCACCAGAGACCAGTCAGGAAAAAAAGAAGCTATACCACTTATGCTAATAGAAGTAATTTGAGAGAGGGGACCCACCAAGGGGTGCTGGGTGACTGAGAAGGCAAAGGGCACTCAGGCGACACAGCGCTGATGAGACCCGGAATGAGCTGCTGCTGGGGGACCACGGGCTGGGCTATTGTACCCCAGAGGCTGGAGGGTGGGGGACCCAGACCTCAGAGCACAGTGCCTCAGAAGCTCTGGCAGGGCTCCATGGCAGTGGGTTCTGAGCTTGTCAAAAGCACTAGGAACGGAACCACAGAACCAAATGCAGCTGCCGGGGTGAAGAGCCGTTGCTGGGGTGACGGTCCCAGAAACAGGAAGCAGACAGGGCGGAGCAGCTCCTTCTCCTCCTCCGCCCACCTCCCTCCAGTGTCCTGCCAGCACGGCTCAGGCTCAGGTGACAGACAGCAGAGGCGCCGAGCTCCGCCCCGTCACAGGGCTGGGTAAGAAGGTGGGTTCGGGGAGGTGCCCTCTGAATCACCAGCCTCCCGGTGCCTCCTCTTAGTGCTGGGACACCAAGGGCTCACACCTACCAGACCCAGCTCCTGCGTTTCCCCGGCCGTCTGCCACCTCTGTAAAGTGACTCGAAAGCATCTGGGATTTCTGTCAGTGACAGAGTCACGCCGACTTCTGGCACCACTGAAGTCTTTGGCCTACGTTCATAATTGGCGAGAGGCTGATTTTGTTTTCCATCCAATGTCAGGGACCACTTGAAATCTAACCAAGGGCCGCGGGGGTGGGGGCGGGGGGTGGTTCGAGGAGTCACGGTTAAGAATCCTCTGGGTTTTCAAGATGTCATGGACAGTTCTTCATCTTCCTTAACTTTTGCTTTAAAAAAAATCACGATTGATCATTGATACTAGAGGTTTTTATGCTTTGAAAGAGAAAACAATAATAATGCAAATTCATCCTTCTGTGCGGAGCTCTCATTCAGCTGATGCTGTCGACCACTCCTGCAAATTGTAAATTCTACGTTTGGCATTTTAGTGATCATAGTGTCCCTATTTCTGAATGCCACGGAAGATACGTTAGCAAGGTTTGGTGAATTCCTTTTTCCTAATGTGTCCCAGATGCTTTCTTCATCTGAATGCCACGGAAGATACGTTAGCAAGGTTTGGCGAATCACTAAACCTTTATGAATTCCTTTTTTCTAATGTGTCCCAGATGCTTTCTTCGAACCTGTGAGCTCACGTCCTGGCCCCGCACTCACGGTGGGTGTGGGTGGGGGGCACCCTAAGGTCCCCGGCGGGCCATCAGAACTTTCCCCTCACACCTCCTGCTCCCTGGGCTCTGGCACCCTGCTCCGCTGTGACCCAGAGCACCAGTCTCTGCTTCTAACCCCGGCTTCTCCAAGCTCGAGGCCACCTGCCCGTTGACGTCTCTACCTGGATGTCCCCAAGGCAGCGCAAACGGCACCAACCCAAGCGTGACTCCCGCTGTGCTGTGGAGTCTCGCCCCGCCCTGCATGTCCTCTCGCAGGGGGACACCCCAGCAGCGCCTCCCCGGGGCTTTGCTAACACCTCCGTGCCTGGGGTCCCTCATCTGTAAGGGGGAGGCCACAGCGGGACGGGCCTTAGTGCTGCGAGGGCCAGCAGCTGGCGCTGAGAGCCACCCCCACCTCGCTTCCCACTTCAGTTCATCGCCGAGGCGACTTCCTGCGTCAGTGGTACCCCAAGGCCGTCCCACGGCCGTGCGGGTATCAGGCCTCAGAACGTCCCCCGGGTTATCCCGATAGCGCCCCCATCTGCGGCCCGCGGAGTCTCATTCCTTCACTCATTCGTTCGCTCCGTCAACAGATGAGGGTCGGGGGCCTGCCCCACGCCGGACGCCGTGCCGACCGCGCTGCCCAGGCTTGGCAGGGGAAGGCTGGACATGGGAGCAACTGTAATTGTGACAAGTGCCGCGACAAATACGCCAGGTGCGGGGGGCGCAGACGGAAAACGCGGCAGCGAGGAGGGAGCCCCAGAGAGCAGGCGGAAGGCAGGCCTCTGCGCCGCGCGTTTGAAGGGCTGCCCTCTGCGAACGGGGCAGAGCCCGCCTCCTCCTGGGTGTCCGCCAAGCTCTCCTAGACGTGGCCCTGGCATGCCGCCACCCCTGCTCCCGGCCACCTCACAGAGCAGGGACGACAGAGCCTGTCACGCCTCCTGGTGGTGACTTCGAGACTTTCACAGTGAATCCCCACAACGGCTTCTAAAAATTTAATGGTGTTTGTGGTAAAAAGGGGCCCAGCCCTGGGCTGAAGAGCTTAGCCGACCCTCGAGTCTACATCAGAGTTTTGCTTAACGGGGAGAGACGCCTCCTGGGGGGAGCACACGCACAGGAACGCTGAAGCCAGCGTCCGAACACCTCCTCCACGTGCTGACGTGTTTCACGGTGCCCTGGGAGGAACCGAACACGGCAGCTGTTCACTAAAGACGCTGAAAGTCAGTATTGTGTGGCTTCTCTACAGCAGTTCTTGAAAATACAAGATAAGTCACAGTGAGAGGTTTTGTTCTGAGCTTCAAGCTGGAGGTATTTAAAAACTCATACCGCCCATTTGTAGATAGTCGTAAAATCTTATTTCAATATATGATAAAGTGGTTATTCTTTTAGAATAACCAGGTGAAAAAACCAAATTTAGAACAAACAAACTTAGGTCAACAGGTTTTTAAGGGCAGGAAACAATTTCTGTTACGGGGTGCAGAAAATACTCTGCTCTCTGTTTTGAACAAGTAAATGACCATAAGGGATACCCAAGAATTCTTTCATCTTTCATATGTACTCAATTTTTATTTTTCAGACATTGAATTCTCACTGAACACGAACGTCTAACTCTTCTGCCCGAGAACATTTTCCATCTCTCTTAAGAAGTTCTATATCGTCTGCTGGATTCGAAAAGTCACCGAGGAGACACAAAATCAGGGGCGCTGACCCTTCTCTATAAATAGCATCTGTCAGTGACCGCAGATGCCCAGACCGAGGCGGCTCGCCGTGTGCCGCCACGGAATTCTGGACACGCGAGGACTTCCAATGTCACTCCAATGTCATTAGTGCCACTTAGTTTAAGAGGTGCAGACACCAGGGGAGGAAAGAGCCACGAGCTCTTTCAAAAGGAAGACGTGCACACACGTGCACGCACACACACACACAAACACGTGCACACACACATGTGCACACACATGCACACACAAGGCAACACAAACACGCACACACACATGCACGCAAGGCACACATGTGCACGAACAGACACGTGCACACACACATGCACACGCACATTCACACACACAGGTACACACGTGCACACACGTGCACACACACAGGCACGCACATGGCAAGCCAGAACGGACCAGACTAAGGAGTGGGTACGGCCCACTCCCCCAGTTCCTCCGGAGGGGCCCCGGCCACGGGGACAGCGGCAAGGAGCTGCAGAGCCGCGCACCCCTCCCCCTCCGCCCCGCCCCGCCCGTCCCCCTGCACGTCTCACGTCGCTGCTCGAACATGGACACTCCACACACTTCGGCATCGCAATGGTTCACCTGACTGGGAAGCGTCTCCCTTAAGCGTCCAATGGCACCTGTGGGCCAGCGAGAGAGAATCGATTCTGTGCCGTCCTGGGTTCCTGACGTGCGACAAACAAATGAGCTTCCGTGGGACCACGGGCTGTGCCTGGATTTGCCGTCACAGGTTGAGATTTGCATTTCAGACCCTTCGCTGACTTGACGCATCCGGGGCAACGTGGGGAGGACACGTGTGCGGTGCAGGTTGGCACGCGGGCCCGCAGCCGCGTGCACGCTGACGCGGGTTCACTGCTCGTCACCTGAGGGGAACCTCTGCTGTCACGGCGATGCCACCCCATGAGCCGGAAGGGGTTCCCTCGGCTCGGGATGCCAAGACCCTTTTGGCTCGACAGACCGGTTCTCCATGTGCAGACACGGTCGGCCTCGCTGGATGACGTGCGGGGGAACGGAGGCCTCGGGGCGGGGGCCCCGGGGCTGCCCTCACCGCTGGCGGTGCCCCCGTGCTGTGCACCCCGCCTCCGCTGCGCGCTCAAGGAAAACCTTTCTCCGGAGGCGGAGGTGGGTGACAGAAACGGGAGCCAACGCCCTGTGCCGGAGGCAGCCGCAGCCTGCGGGCTGGCCTTGGTGTCTCAGCACAGCCTGTGGAGAGAGAGGGTCCACTCCCCAACAGGCGCAGATGGGGCGAGGGCTCGCCAAGGCCCTGCCACCGTGCGCGCCGGGGCCAGGCCAGGGGCCTGCACGTCCACGCGGACACCGGCACGGAGCCCGCCGGACGCCCCCGCACGCTGACCGTGTGCGGACGCTGTGCTGACACTGCCTTTGTCTCATCTCATTCCAGCCTTGACGGCTCTGAAAGGTCGGTTCCAGTGTCCCTTCGTGGAAGCTGAGGCTCGGGGTTGCGTCACGTACCCGGGTTGACAGAGGTTCCAGACGGCTCGGCTGCTGAGGGACTCTCCGTGGTCCTGACTCGTCCTCGCCCTGCCCCGGGCCTCCATCGGACCAAAGCCACAGTGGCCGGGGCCTCGGACACGACATGGCCTGGCCACTGCGCCCAGCGAGGCCACTACCCCAGTCTTGACACGTGACCTGTCCAAGGCCACATGGCCGGACGGCACAGGGAGGAGCTGGAGCACAGACTTCCTAGAACGATGCCGCCTCCATTTCAAGACTGCCGCTTGCCAGCTATGTTCCAGCCAACAGCTGTTCTTCGTGACCTTTCAGACATGTCCCTCTCTGTGAAAAGCCCAACTGGCAAGTGATCCTTCGAGCACGCATTACTTTCTTCCTATTAGAATTACCTCCATCCATCGCCATTTGGCAAATGTCCAAGAGCATCGGAAAGCATCCTCCTCCAGCCGGTTTTCATTAAATGACGCGGTGTCTAATATTCAAATTTGTCCAGACTCTTCCTGATCTTCTGCCAGGAGCTGACCCGAGCTGATTCTGCAGGCAGTGACATGTCACGGTGTCAAGTGAACACACTCACACGGGGGTGGGAGTTACGGAGACGTGGAGGCTTTCCTGCGCGCCGGCCACGGTCTCCTAGGGAACAGTGCGACGGGACAGTCTGTGTTTATCAAGATCATGCTGCCTTTTCCTTTTGTTAAAGCGAGGGGTGCGTCTGAGTGTTTTCCCAAGGCAGAGTCATCGTTTCGGTCCTACTTAACTCAGCTTTCGGCTGCTCCTTCATCTGCTCAACATACATCTTCTAAGACAAAATCCACTGGAGAATCCATTTTAGGGATTATCAGGCTCCTGGTTAGGCAAGTCTGTTTTGGTTGATTTGTTGTTTGTGTGTGTGTGTGTGTGTGTGTGTTTTGGTCTATGAGGAAGCTGTTCAACTCTTAATCTCAATTAAGAAAAAATATTTGCAACAGCTATGGAAAGGGTTAATATGTAATGTATAAATCAGCAAAAAAGAAAAAAAAAAAAACCCCAAAACCATAGTAACACTCCAAGACATGTTTTGACAACTCAAAAAAGAACTTCAAAAAACTGAGAACCAAAGAGCTACCGGTTTTAGCATCAAATTTACAAGGGCTAAGAATAATGATGCCACCTCACCCGGGGACAGGGGACAGACGACAGGAGGCCAGTGAGACCCATGCGACCTCTCGGGAAAGCAATGTGGAGCCAGGGGTCTGCTCTCAGGCCCTGCACGTTTACACTCTCAGTTTATGCTTCTTATACGCCACTTTACGGAAATAATTCGAGGCATAGACATTATTTACTCCGAAAGACGTTCGCTGCAATGTTCACAACTGCAAACAAACACAAAACCTGCAGACAATCGGTGTCCAACAGTTAGGGCCATCGACGCGGTGCTCTGTGGCCACCAAAACGTTCGTCGGAGCATTCGCTACAAGGATCGTGCTTCTTTCTTTCCTTAAAAAAAGAGAATTAAAAATCTAGCATTCCCAGATACGTCGTGGGACTATGTTCAACCACATCCACAGATAGAAGAACGGGAGACGTAAAACAAATCATAACACGGATAACAGGCTCCAGGCTTGGTCATAGTACAGGACGTGAGATTTATTTTCTATTGTCTGAAGTTTCCTGTTTTCTATAATGAACAACGCGTTACAGTTAATATAACAAATTAAACATTTCCTTTAACCAACAATTACTTACGTTGGTAATTTCTTAATTTATTCAATTAAAAACTTGTTGTAAGCCAAACTTCAGGACAAATGTCACATGGTTAATACGTGGTTGAGTGCGAATGCTTCCACCCCGCCGGGGGAAGTCAGGGAGGGCTTCCTGGAGAGAGAGCCGAGTCTGGAAGGATGGGAGGTGGTGGTCAGGAGGGAGACAGGAGACGGGGAGCGGGGGGGAGCTGAGAGCTTCTGGTGCCGTCGTAAAGGTTTAAATTTATCTTGGGATCTACAGGGAGTCACTGAGGTGGCCGCGAGGGGAGCCGTGGCAGGAGGTTGGTGTTCTCTAGGGATCACTGGGACACCACGACGAAGACCGACCAGGGTCGATCCCGGAAGCAGACAGACTGGGAGGCGGCCACGTGAGGCGACAGGGCCTCAGCAGAGTCGTGCTGACGATTCCACGGGGCGCGGGAAATGGGGGACAGGGTCCTGGAGGACACAGCAGGGGCGCCGGGCTGGTCGGGGATGAAGATGCTCAGTGGCAGTGGCAGGGGGTCTGGGCAGGACACGGAGACGTCGTGAGGTGACGTAAAGCCGCCAGCGTGGCTAGACCCGCACAGCCGAGGGCCTGTAGCCGTGACAAAGGAAAATGGCCAGGGAGTGACATCCAGCCCCTAAGGGAGCACGCAGTGGGACGGGCCGCGGGGGCTGCGGGGACCGGAGGGCGGTGTCGGTGTCGGGACGCCCGGCGGGGCAGTCCCCGGTCACCTCATCGCAGTGTCCTACGTGGATGCCGTGGACAGCACGGAACGGACGATGCTAGAGGAACTGACAGAAACGAGTCCCATTTACCGTCCCTTCCTCCCCGTGGCCCCTGCCCGTCCCCCTCCTCCCCGCCGTGCCCTGCCCCTCAGGGGCCCCCCCACCTCCAGGAAGGGAGAAAAGTCTCGGTGCCTGCGAAGAGGGACGAGCGGGATATGACACCACGCAGCAGGGACTGCCCCGCGACTTACAGGAGGCCTACAATCAGGAATGACAGCGCAGCGAGGCTGGCTGGCGCGGTGTCACAGGGCCGGTCCACGCTCCACCTGCAGGCCGGCAGCGGGCCCGATTTACGGGGCGGGGTCCCCTGCAGAGCCGGCCATGTGCCCGATCTCTTAGCTCATTCTCACAATGAGCCCGGGAAGGAGAGCCATCTTCACGTGAGGACAGTGAGGCACAGGAGGGCGAAATGACCTGCCCCAGGTCACGAGGCCAGTCGGCGTTGTGGCCGAGTCCTGGGGCGCCTCCACGGAGGCTTGGGCTGCTGGGGGAAGGGGTGCAGGATGTCAGTTGCCATGGAAACTCTCATCATCTACCTCCCAGACTGTCCTATGGACCAGGCCCACAGGGAGGACTTGTCCTGGGGGACGCTGGTGCTGGCCACAGTCCGAGGTGCTCCCAGTAGCGTGTGTCCGACCCCGCTCTGTGCAGCGAGGCCATGTCGCCCGCCCAGGCTGCAGGGCTACTGTCCGCTCCACAGCCAGCTCGCCTGGCTGAAGAGTGTTTAAAATCCCAGCCACCAGAGACGCACAGCATCGCTACACAGTGTCCGGTCTTAATGACATTTACAAAGAGCATACAGTCGTTTTATTTTTAGAGTACCTTTTGGCAGTTTCATGGCATGAAATGAGTTACTCAGCACAAAGCCCCGACTTTAAATACTGTGCTGATAATAACTAAGACATTGGATTAAGGTGCCTGGGTTTGTGGCCACCTTGGGGAACCAGCTCACTCCTACGTGCTGCGTAGATTCCAAGCCTGGCTTTCTAGTCAAAACCCGAGAGAGGAGGCGAGGTCCCGTTTGGAAGATTTCAGATTATTTCATCTATAAACGTTTCATTCAAAATTGCTGGCTCTTAAAGTTATTTCAAAATATAAAAACCTTGGGAGATTTACTCCAGTAAATAAGAAAATTCGCTTTTATTATTTCTTTTAAACTAAATTACTATTGCACTTTACCTCGACACTTTTATGAAAGCCTCAGACTTCAGTTTCGTCGATTAAAAAAAAAAGCATCAGAAAATAGTTTCTTCCACAATAAGAAAGGCTGGATTACTTAACAGTGAGGAAGAAGCGTAATTAAATGTTTCATGAATCATTCAAATCATAAGCATTTGTTTAAGTGTTTGAGAAACTTAAAAATCTTTCAGAGTCAGCACCCTGGGCGGGTGATACGCCAGAAGTCATTTATTACCTTCTATAGAAAACTGTACACTTAATTTTACGAATGACAATTCCTGGCTGTCACGACGTTCTGCAATGCGACGGAAAGCTAAGGATGCGTGAGAGTTTTCGCAAATGCCCCACCTTCGAGCCCAGCGAGTCCACCTCCAGCGACGTTCACAGTACACGCAGAGGTGACTGAACACGCGGGGCCCGTGTCCGTAAACGGTGGCGAATACAGACAGAGCGCCGCACGGCCGTCGGGGGCACTTAGAATGACTACGTTATAAACTGATCCTTGCTCAAAGATTTTGAATTCCAACGGGAAACTTCAGAGAAGGCAGCGAGAACACACTCGCAGAGACCAGGCCCTCACGCCTCGGAGAGAAAGTCTGATTTGAGCAGCATTACTTTCTGGAACGTTTCGTCTAAGATGGGAGAGAGCCCGCCTGCTCGGAGCTTTGCCCTTGCACAGAATATTGCTTGTCTCCTCCAAAGGTGGCATCTGAGCTTCAGGACACACCGCCTCCTCTCCGGCCCCCGGTCCCCGGACGCCTGCTGCCACAGGAGTGTCATCACTGGGAGGGGCCCACCGTGGTGCCCGGCCTGCCTGGTGTCCAGTGTGGGCTCTGTCGCTTTCCAGCCGGTGACTCGCAGTCTCTGCTGCTCTCTCCCTGAACTCACCACTTCACAGCCCTGCCGGGGAGATGGGAGCGAACGGCCGGTATGCTCCCACGTGCTCAGTACCCGCCCCTCATGGACTGTTAATCGGGGTGTCAGCTCCCAGGATGGCCTTCTTGCCTTGAGGTGACCTTGGCTGTGACGGGGCCGGGGTAGCTGACGGGGGTGCAGAGCACACTGCCTGGGGCGGCAAACAGGTGTGGAAGGCAGGTGCTCTCTCTCGGAGCTCAGAGACCTCGTCTGCGCCGGGAGTCAGCGGTGGGACCGAGAACGGAGCAGCTGCGGGCAGCAGGGGCCTGGGCCGGGACGGGCACAGGGGGAACCGTGCCCGGCCCCCGACCCAGGGCCGTACCCCCAGCCCACCGGGGTCCTTACGCCACCATCCACCATGGCACTGAGGCTGCTCAGGCCGAGGCCTCCCAACGGCAAGGCTCCAGGTCACGCCTCCACGTGTGCCCCTGTGGGTCTTTCCACAGCACAAGACACTGCCCACCTCCCTCCCAAGCCGGGTGACTCCCCTCTGTCCCCTGGCTCTGGGGCGTGCCAGGTGACTGTTCTGCTCACCTTCTCCATCCATCCATCCATCCATCCATCCATCCATCCATCCCTCTATCCCT